GGGAGCGCAGTCATGGGCTGGGACACAAGGACTGTGGCATGCAGACTGGGACACAGTCCCTTGGCGATGATGCCTCGTAAAGGGGTGTTCTGCGTTGAAGATGATTTTGTGTTGTGATGTACAATGGACACCTTTCCATCACTGAAGCACGTCGTTCTTGGAAGCATGCAATGCGCTCAGTTCTCCAGTGGCCTTGGCTGTGGTTGCACAGCAGTGAGGACCACTGTCACCATCGTAAGCTCCACAATAAACCGCCTCCAGCCAGCACTGCTGCGATGCTCAGCGCCAGCTGTGTGTGAGCGCACTCACTCTCCTGTCCACTTTCTGCCGGTACCATGCTGTGGAGCTGTGCATTACCAATGAGCAGAGAAGCGTGCACAGGGAGCAGGGGTAGCTCACCTGAGTGCACATCTACAGCTACTGTCAGACACAAGATATAAACCCAGAAAAAGAGTGCACGGGATTGCACAAAATGCAGCGAAAAACACCTTACATGTCAAACTTCAGAATACATGTATGTGTCTTTTCCTAAGCTCTTCGTAAAAGGCCACAAGGATGCTGAGGCGGAGGCTTGCCACAAGTTCAAGGCCAGCTTGGGCTGCAGAGTGTTCTCGGCCTGCTGCAGGACTTGCTCAGCACCTCTTTCTACATTTATTTATTTACGCACATTGTTGCCTATGCAGAACTCTTTTTATTTTATTGCTAATTGTTTTATATGTGAAAGACATGGGTACTATTATAGTCAGACTATTTTATTTTAACGTATAGCTTTTTTCCTTTCAAACAGGAGCAAAATTTATTGGAACTTTCCCCATACCTGACACCTACAACCCAGATGATGACAAAATATATTTCTTCTTCCGTGAATTGTCCCAAGAAGGCAGCACTTCTGACAAGACCATCCTTTCTAGAGTCGGAAGAGTTTGTAAGGCAAGAAATTTTCATTTATTTTACTTCTTGCATACATACAGGTATCTGCCTTTCTGTCTATGAAACAATAAGCCATACAATGTGGAAATAAATGTGACCATTATTTACAGATTTGCAGGATAAATTTATACTATCATATATGTGAGATTTTTGAGACCCAAAGTGAAAAGAGAGAAAAGCATTAATGCTCTCAGACATTGCCGTCTGTTCTCCAGCACGGAGCAAGGTGCCCGTGAGCAGTGTGCCCATTCATCACAAGGCTTCTCCAAGGAGGTCGCTGCGTTGTCCAGAGCTAGAGAGCTAACGTGTTGTTGCACAATCTTGAATAATTGTATTTTAAAGCTGAAAGAGCTTGTCATAATAAGTAACCTAAAAATGAATGCAGTCACATTGTGCATTTTTATCAAAGCACAGACCTTGCATGTGAAGTTACATATTTCACAAGCACAAAATGAATTTAAAATATGTTGTATGTCTTAGCATATCAAATGCTTCCAAGATTACTGACCTCGACTAGGTACTGGGAGACATTGCAGGGAACACCGGACACCACCACTGAGTGACGCCCTCTGTGTGAATTGCAGTAGGCACAGGAGCCAGGACGGCTGTGTGTCAGGCTCTTGTTGGATGCAGTATGGGCTCTAAAGGATGGCTCTGCTTCTGGAGCCACACCTTGGCTCTTGGGATTTCACTTTGCTTGGATTTGTCCCCACTGAAATAACCTGTCATGAGTGGACAGGCACCTGCATGGCAGTAATCCAGGGCAAGCACTGCTAAGCTAATGGGCATGCTCAGTAGGAGGCTGGCTTGGTCCTGTGCAGGCTCTGCCCTTTCCTGTGCAAGCCTATCCCAATCCTCTGAATCTGTGTCCTCTTGAACCCCTCCAGGGATGGAGTAACAAACCACCCTCACTGCAGCCTTCCGAGGTGCAGGTGGGTTTTGTAGGAGGCCACCTTGTGAGACAACCCAGAGACCTTCTCACCTGCCACCACAGCCACCACAGTCATGGATCTCTTGCCTCAAGGAAGGCCAGGCCCACGACATCCTCCTGCCAGCAAACTCTAGTGGGATGGGGCTGATGTGGGGTCCTGTGTCAGAGCTTTGGGGCTCCCTTCTTCCACAGCAAGAGCTGGAGAGCTGTGCTGTTGGACACTACCTGTGTAAAGGAGCTATGTTACACAAGTTCAGATTGTAATGTGTGACAGTCGACTAAAGGTGTCTCCCAGGTCACCACATAGCAGGTGTGCCATCTGCCAGGCACGCTCTCTCTGTTCCTGTTCTCTCTTTGCTGGGACAAATACTTGACACTCAAAATGAAGGAAGGAAAGGATTATTTAGCTCACAGTTGGTGGAGATTTCAGTGCATGCTCAACTGGCTCCAAGGCGGAGTGGCCCATAGTGGCGCAGAGCTGCCTTTCATGGTGGTGGCAAAGAGTAAGAACCAAGGGAGTGGCAGCAGCTCAGGCAGCTAGCTAGCCTCTCCCCCCTTCCTTACATTTGTATGCAGAGTATCCACCCCCAAGGCACTCACACTCATAATCCCAGCACTGGATCATGAGTCAATCCCAAACTGCAGAGCTGCCCCATGACTGCATGAAGCTTTTGGGGGACAGCTAGACACAAACCATAGCACATGCCTTTGCTCATTTCCCGATGGTTCAAACCCACTAGGTAGTAAGCTATTCATAATCAAATAACATTTAAGTATAATGTTGAAGGTGGGGGAATATCTTAGCTGAACCTTTCATAAATGTGTCTAGTGAAGGAATCATGGGGCACTTGGCATCAGCCACAGAGGGCTTTAAGGATGAACAAACTCCTGCCAAATGGGAAGGAAACTGTAGTGGGGGATCTTCCCTGCTCAGAAGCACCATGACCAACAGACAGGCCACGTCAGGCGTTGTGGTCTGTGTCTAGTTATCCACCAAAGCCTCGTGCAGTCAAAAGGTGGACTTCTAGACTTTGTGATTAATTCGTGATCCAGAGCTGGGATTGTGTGTGTGAGTGCTGCTGGGATTATGGCTGTGAGTGCTGCTGGGATTATGGGTATGAGTGCTGCCTGGATTATGGGTATGACTGCTACACCTGGCCTGGGGCAGATGGCCTGAATGCAACCTAAGGGAGACACACCTGCTCTCTGCTGCCGTGTTGCTGCTCTTCCTGCCCTTTTGCTCTTGCTGTTTGCTGTTTTCCGCTGCCTTGAACTGCTGCCCCTGCCATGTGCCGCTCTGCCTTGGAGCCAGCTGAGTATGGACTGAAACCTTCACTAACTGTGAGCTAAATAATCCTTTCTTCATTAATTGTGGCTGTCAGGTATTTTGTCCTAGCAAGGAAAGAAGAGTATGCAAGACATCCGGCTTGGCAGCAGAGCAACTCCCGAGGCCAAATGAGCCCTGTGACAGGTGAATCTGCGTGTGGAGCTGGGTGCTGTGCCCACATGTCTGCTTGGCTTTTCCTCACTGGTTCAGGCCTGTGGTCATCAAAGCTCCTCCCTGTGAGCAGGACCCAGTGGCCCAAGGGTCTTGACACCTTGTTCCAAATGCTTTCAGTGTATCATGTTTAAGTGATTTGGAAAGGTGAGTCGTGCTGTTGCCCCGCGTTGTTTTCACTTGCAGACTCTGCTGGCGTCGACTGGAAGTCTTTGCTCTCCCTGCCTCCTTTCCTTTTACCCTCGAGTGCCGTCACAACATTATTTTCTACTTTTAAAAAGTAATGATAGGATGAATGTCTGCTTTAGGAAAAACACCTGAGTCTGACTGTTAAAATAGATTGTTAAAGACAGAAGAGACCGAGCTAGAGAGCGTTAGGAGTCAACGCCCAGGCTTTTCTGAGGGTCTGGGCTCTTGCCACACAGGAGCTCTTCGTGCCCATGGCTGGCCCGCCTTCTCCCGTGGGCATCTTTGGAGACACTCGTGTTCAGTCCTCACCATTACTGCTGCTTGCTGCCACTTTCAGCTAAGCACTTAGGCTCGGGGAGCAGAACGCTGGCATCTGCAGAGCCCTCTGCCTCTTCAGTTGCTAAGCTAATAAACATATTATTACACTGCTCTGTGGCCGGCTGTGCTTTCTCCTACCTACCAAAGGTATCATTCAGCTGAATGGATTACAGTGGTAGGTGGAAAGGAGGTTTTAAGAATAGACGAACCTCACACAACAAATGACTAACTAAATGATAGCAATTCACTCATTGTTTCTGCAGTAGCAGTCACTTATAAAATAACTCTGTGAACTATGGTACACTAGACAGTTGCTAGAGATAAGAAGCCACCATAGCTTTACACAGCAGCCCTGTGACTGTTAGTGCTGAGCTGGCGCCAGCAGCCCTGGGCTGAGCGTTTTGTGCCTTCCACCTCCACCGAGGTTCCCTGCAGAGGGCAGTGCCCCTGGCAGCACAACACTCCTGTTTTCTTGCTGACTGCACTTTCTAGAAGATAAGGCATGGATCAGGAAAATCACAGTGCAACACATCCCAGTGAGAGAGGAAACAGCGCTGATTGGGGACTCAGATTTGATATTTGGGCATGAACTTGGTGGGCTTTAGGATATGCTGGCAGATGGGCGACCTGAACTTGCAACCTGAGGCTTGGCTGCATCTGCAGCTATAATTTTTTTTTTCTTTTAGTGGTACCGGGTGTTGAACTCAAGACCTTGCACTTGCCAGGCAAACACTTACTCTACTGAGCTATCTCCCTGGCCCTGCAGCTATATGTTTGGAACTCAGCATTATCTTGGCATTATGGCAGTGCCTGGAATTGCTCAGGAAGTTTTGTCATCTGAGGTCAAAGGCAAGGCTAGAACCCTGAGAGTCCATGACCCTAGGAAACAGGAAAGTGCCCTGAAAGGTGGCTGAGGTGAAACTGTCCAACTCCTGGCTGTGCACGGAGGTGTAGTCACACCTGAAAGAGAGAGACCAGAGGAAAGTGATACTGGACACCAGCCAGGTAGCCAGAGGGCGGCGTGGCAGCAGCGGGCATCTTCTCCGTCAGTTAGGAGGCCACCAGTACGCCGACCCAGGTGGCACGAACGTGCAGCCTGCAACCAGACGCAGGCTTACTCCTTCCTCGGTAGCACTCCCTCTTCCTTCCCAGTAGGGTCATCTTACGGAGCAGATACCACACTGACGAGAACACGTGAGGCCGGATGTGACAGGTGTCAGAAGGTGTGGCGAGCTGGGGGGCCGTAGGCCCTGCCCGGACGCGTGAGCAGTGCAGCAGAAGAGGCGTGCGTGAGAAGAATGCTGACCTGGTCGCGTGCTGGGAGTCGGTGCTGGCAGGCACGTGCCACGCATGTCACACACGTGCTTTTGGAGACAGCTCGACTTCGCAGTGATGAGAGAGGTGGTGGGGTGGTGTGCAGAGGTGTTAGAGCCAGCAAGTTACCAAAGGTCATTGGAAAGCCGTGGTCGGAGAGGTCGAGATGATAGTGATGATGGTGATGAAGGTGTCGTTACCTTCAGTTTTGAGAATATTTGTACTTTGGGGAATGGATCTCTTTTCTGAAAATATTCAGAATTATTTGGAACCATATGTGGTAAAAGTCTTGCACACTGTTTGAATATTGCACATTTTGTTTATGGGATACAGATGCAAGAGCTGTTATAAGCTAAGTAATTTGCCCTAAAATATTCTTTTTCACGTGACAAAATTCGTCAGTGGCACCTAAAACGCGACCCTGCTCTGGAAGCTCCTCACACTTCATCTGCTGGTGCCTACACTCATGCGCAGTTCCCAGGGAGCCACTGCTTGGTGCGCCACTCGTGCGGTGATCTTTGTGCATGGAGACAAGGAGCTCAGCCTTGCCTGATGCCCGGGGCCTCGCTGAGCTCCGTGTGCCCGCACCCCACTGAGCAGCCCGAGCAGCCCGTCTGTGAGGCCCTGGCGGCGGCTGGCCAGTGGCTGGCGACAGATGGCAGGTCTGCCCAGTGGACTGTGAAGCACCACCTCGGGATGGGCAGCGCCTGTGGGCACTGAACCAGGGGAGATCTGTGTCGCTCTGCAAGT